AGGTCAGTCTTACCAGTGTCTTCGTAAAATTCTAGTGCAGGACAGAAACTGCTGCTGCTTTCGTGAGTGCATCTGCCATGCCTGATCACAGAACCTGCCATGAGAACAAAAATCTTGTGGTAATTATGACCAAGGATATTCTCTGGCTTCCCTTGGCAGCTAACCAAAAAAAAAAAAAAAAAAAAAAAAAAAAAAAAAGGAAAAAGTTTAAAGACAAGATGGAATTCTCCTATATAATATAAATTAGAACATTTCTTTGCCACTCATAAACAAGAGGTAAGTAATCCTCAAAATGAATACAATTCATACACTTGTTGAAAAATGATTAAAGATCTGGATTTCTATGATATAGAAAAAGAGAGTAGGACAGTGAAAGATGTAAGCTTTGCTCACACCTCTGTAGGCAACAGCTCTTACACCAGTTAGGTAGATAGTAAAACTCTGTTTAGAAACCTAATCCTAAAAGCCAATTTCCCTTATAGAAGTTTTTTTGGCGTCTAGCCACCAATGTAATTGAAAACCTGGGTTATTCATTTGTATCACAAAAGATTACTTGTCTCGTACAAGTTGATACTAGCAAGTACAATGAATTGGCTTTCATGAAGTTATGACAAAGTATGAACATGTCATATGGCTGCAACATATTGTAATACTACCTAATTTCACTTTATTATGAAAACAGGAGGTATCTAAATACATTCAAATTTCCTTTTTCAACAAAACACATTTCCATGCCAATGATTCCAATTACCCAATGTAGCCATCGTGAAACCACATGAAAGAAATAAAGTGGAACCCTTTTAGCTTTGTTCCATCAGTCAGCTTAGTCTAGAATCATCCAATAGTCCAAACACATCTTACAGACAGAAAACTAAGAAAAACTGGAGAGGAAAAGTAATTCACTAATCAAAATCTCCACGAGACAATGAGCTTGAAGCTGATAGACTTAAAGAAGACTTCAGTTAGTACCACCTTGATGTTCTCATAATTTTCTTCTCAGTCATTTAAGAAATAAGATACACTTAATAGAACATGAAGTAAGACTCTCTTTCATTTGAAATGATTTTCTGAACAGAAATAACTTGTTCTATCTTCTTACATAGAGAAAACATTGCATAATATTCTATTGCTTAACATTCTAGTACAATAGACTTTAAATACTAGCTACACAAAAGACCCTTTTGACTGCATAGACTTACGAAGATGTTTTTGACATGTTTCTGGAGTAGTCTCAGAGAAATTATCTCTTTTAATTGTAATGCTATTCCACAATAACTGTTCTAGGTTCTTTCTCCCTTGCAGTTTTATCTTACGCTATTCCACAGCATTTTTAGGTGCACAAGTAATTTCTTTCAGATCCAGAATGAAGTGCGTTGTGAATAAGATAAGGAACATGGGAATAATTTCTTTTTTTAATAGAGAACTCAAATTCAGATTTATAAATACATAGTATTCCAAATGGGATTGTGTCACCAATTTTTAAATTTTTTTAATTAAAAAAAAAAATTAACTGTGCTTCTCATAAATTTCTTTTCTTCTTTTCAGATTTGACTGACATTTCTGGGAAACAACACTCAGCAATTGCTTCATGCAGAGAGATGCTTTGCCAGCTGACCATCTTTCTGCAGGACAAAGCCTACAGCAGTGCTTGTATAAAGTCTTCATGGGACTAAAGCACTCCAAAGTTACTGTTGACTGGAAGTGCAGTATCTTTCATTTCTCACCTTTATTGAGCATCAGAACCTCAGTTGTCACATTTTTCCTCAGTAGTTAAAAAAGATGCATAGTCATGGGGATTGTAAATTGAGCAGCATGGCCTTCTATGATTCTGAACAGGGACCTTATCAGAAACTTTTACTGCAGTATTAATAAGATACGCATTTCTGGTCCAAAACAGCATAAGTGTCTTCCTCTGCATTTCTTTAGCAAATTTCAAAAGTAATTCCCCTGTGCATAGATATTTTGACTATGACCTGGAAAAGTTTCCAGTCATGATTCATCTGTTAGAATCACTGAAAAGGGGAAAAAAGTGGTAGTAAATACCTCACATAAACTGTATAACTTGTATAATAAAGACAACTGATATTTATCATGTAAGATATGCTACATGAAAACCCTTTCTACAGCACCAATGATAGATTTCACACCAAGTTATGATAGACATTCAGTGCTCAGATTCATTCAGTGTGCTTGATAATGGACAAAACACATTCATCGGTGTGAAATTTAACATTGATAGCACAAGATGGATCTTTTCTATAACTCTGGTTTTAATATTTGAGAGAAGTATATAGACTGATGCAGAGAATAAATAAAGCAAAAATAATTATCACTTACCCAAGTTTTGGAATTCTGTCCATTAAATCAGTCTTCTAACAAATACAAAATCTGTATTCATATGTTATTAACTGTATTTATTATTTTGTAACTCGTTGTGACATTATTTTAAGATTCAGTTAGTTTCCAATTACAAAGAATTTTGGAAGACTGTATTTTTCTAAATATCAAATTGTTAACATTTAATTTATCTATCAAATGCTTCAATTTGGAATAACAAATATGCAAAAAAAGGAAAAGGGATCTATTTTTATTTTCTTCTTTCCTTCTAAACCAGGTGATGCTTCTTAGAGTTTCTTTCCTCTTGTCTAATTTACATTTAACATGGCTGCTTATAATATGTCTCTAATTAGTAATTTCAACTGATTACTGATGACGTACATGGGTTTGAACTGAATCCTATAATCAGACTTCAATTTTAAGGATGACTTAGAATTTTGTTTACCCATCTGAAAAGGATCTGATTTCTTTTATAAAAATTATTGAAACACTCACCATCAGAACTTGTAAAGACCTCATTGGTGTTTACTTTATAATTGAATAGCTCAAAGTCATTGGCTACTTCCAATAATTTAGCTCCTTTAAATACTTATACTTTTCTTTTGGAGGTTTTCTTTGGTTATGAATACATCCATCATGATCTCCTTTAAAGTAATTAGAACTGTGGTAATAGAGAACCTCTAATGCAGCATAATTGTTTTTATATTCAAGAGATCGTTTTAATCATTTTAATCATACTTAATTTATTGTAGTCATTTCTAACTCAGAAATATTGCTATGATTATGGTATGACATCTATGGAATAGACCATTACCAAGGGAAAATGTCTTTTTTTCCTATAAATAATGATGAGAACAATGGGAACCACAACATTGTAAAACAAATAAATGTTAAAATGCAGATAGAAGGATTCTTTTTTCATTCAGACAGCATTAATTAGGTAAAAGAGTTATCTGTAGCTATGTCAAACATCATGCTTGCATGCAATCATCTGGAAGGTTGCAGTAAGTAAGAAAAAAGTTGCATCTCATAGCACTGTGGAACCAATGCACTCCCATTGCCAGAAATGACAGAACCTGCCCAGTTCTTCATCCAATAGAAAAACATACTGCCCAGGTGGATGAAATTATTTTTAATTTGGTTCTCTCTTTTTTCTTCTTCTCCCTCCCCTCCCCCCCTCCTTATGATTAACAGTTAAAATAAAGTGTTTGGCAGTCTAAATTATTAACATGCATTCTTTTCACATTCATCTTGGTCTCTGCCTTGTGAAGGAATTTGCCAGCTTAGTGCAATAAGCACTTTCTAGATGGCTTTTCACCATAAAAAATATTATAATTTTAGTCAGAGAACTTCCCTCATCACAGGTGTTTTTCAGGTTGTTTCGAACACCTAATACAGTCAAAGTTGGTGTATTGTCTAAATAGTATTAGTATACATCAGTATATAATAGGAATGAGAGATGGAAATATTCATTGGAAGAGAAAGATTCTTTAATACATTGTAAAGATCTGCTTTACTGCAAATATACACATTACTGTGAGTAATCTATAGAACATCAAAATCAATTTTTACCTGCTTCAATATTTTTTTCACAGAAATCTATATAAATACGTACTAAGCATATTCTTAGTACCATCTTCTTGATGTCTCGTTGAAAAAAAAGCAATATTTTAATATAATATGCTAGAGCATAGTAATTTGGAGCAGGCAATAGCAAGTGCAGTAAGATAACTGAATAACTATTTTCTTCTCAGACTGTAAGAGAAAGAGATAAATGAGAAAACAGAAACAGCTTAACTCACCAAAAATCAAATCACTGCATTGCCCTCTTAGCCACTGAGTGTTTTGGAATAAAAGACTGAAGATTATATCAGTACGATAGAGGCTCCCTGCTCTCTCTACAGTCAGAAGCTGTAGACTGTGATGAAAAGAAAAGAAAAGAAAAGAAAAGAAAAGAAAAGAAAAGAAAAGA